TTTCTTCCAGGATTCTGATTACATGAATTTTAGATCTTTTCATCTAGTTCCACAGGTCCGTGTGGCTTTTTTCATTTTCTTCAAACTGTTTTCTCTCTGTTTTTCAGATGGAGTGATTTTTAATTATTCTATTTTCAGGTTCACTTGTTCTTTCCTCTGTCCCCTCCATTCTACTGTTTAGTCCATTTACTGAGGTTTTTTTACTTTGGTTATTATGTTTTTCAGGTTTAAACATTCCATTTAGCTCTTCTTTATATTTTCTGTTTCTTTACTAATACTTTCTACTTTTTTGCTTTGTTTCAAGTGTGTTCTTAATTACTTGTTGAAGCATTTCTATGATGGCTGCTTTAAAGCCTTTGTCAGATAATGTTAACATCTGTCATCTTTGTATTGGCATCTGTTGATTGTCTTTTAAAATCAGTTTGAGATTTTTCTGATTCTTGGTATCATGCGTGATTTTCTTTTTTTTTTTTTTTTTTTTTTTTTTTTTTGAGACAGAGTCTCGCTCTGTCGCCCAGGCTGGAGTGCAGTGGCCGGATCTCAGCTCACTGCAAGCTCCGCCTCCCGGGTTCACGCCATTCTCCTGCCTCAGCCTCCCGAGTAGCTGGGACTACAGGCGCCCGCCACCTCGCCCGGCTAGTTTTTTGTATTTTTTAGTAGAGACGGGGTTTCACCGTGTTAACCAGGATGGTCTCGATCTCCCGACCTCGTGATCCGCCCGTCTCAGCCTCCCAAAGTGCTGGGATTACAGGCTTGAGCCACCGCGCCCGGCCCATGCGTGATTTTCAATTGATACCTCGATATCTCATATTATTTTATAGGCTCTGGATCTTATTTAAGTCTTCAGTCTTAGCTGGTTTTCTCTGCTCCTACACAGGACGGGTGGGGGACTGTTACTTCTTTATTGCCAGGTAGAGGTAGAAGTCCAGCTTCTCCACTTGGCCTCCATTCACACTTGAAGGAGTGGATATTTCTCACTACTGCTGGTCAGGGGTGGGAGTTCTGCCTCCCCACATGGTTTCTGCTGATATCATGGTGGGGATAGCCTTGTTACTACTACATAATGGTGAAAGTCCTGCCTCTTTACTAGGTCTCTACTCTAGTGGAAAGGGAGAAGGACATCTCATTGCTTCCAGGTGAAGAGTAGGTTTCCCATGTAGTTTCCACTGACATTGGTTTACATTGGGGAGGTGGGGGTGGGACCCAGGGATGTGGATACAGGCCTACAAGGATAAAAGTCCCTGATCTCTACATGGCCTCCTCTGACACCACCCAGTAGAGGTGCTGGGGGGCCTTGTTACAGCTTTGCCTTCAAAAGCATGAAAGTCTCAGCTTCTCCCTCAACCTTTGCTGGTGTGGGTGGGACCACAGTTTTTTCTGTAGTGTTTGATTGGAGCAGAACAGTTATTGTCTTCAAAGTTTTCTGTCTTGCTGGGCTGTCCCTTTCCTAGTCTTTTGGCTAGTGAGAGCAGGCTTTTATTCAGGCTCCTCCTTCTCCTTCTTCTTCTCCTCCTGTCTGAACCCATTGGCATCTCTGGGTTGCTGCTCCAAGCCTTGGATATATGACACCATAAGAAAATCGAGGGAATGCACCACCATGTTTTCCTCGGCCCAGGTCCACAGCCTGTCTGCCGTCTTCGTATCTTTCCTAGTGTTCTAATGTCTGTTTTATAGACAATGTCCAGAGTTCTTAGCTGTATTTAGGAGGAGGAATAGGGAGAAGTACAGCTCCTCTGTTTTCCTGGAGTGGAATTCTCTGCCTCTCTGATTTTAAACAAGCCAAACTCACAAGAGGGCAAGCAGAAAGCAATTTTATTCTTTCTCACAACTATCTCTTTCAAATTGGCCTGTGGCCTCATTCTTCTAGATGAAATTTTAGGCAGATTCTTAGCCTTTTCAATCCCTTTCAGTTATAAATATGTGCATGCATGTTTGTTTGTATTAACATCAATCTTCTGAACTCTTGTCTAATCTAATCTTTTGCCCTCCCAAACTTGGACCTATCTCAGGGCCTATCTATATCTATGGTAGAAAGAGGGGGTCTTGGGAGTCTTGGTTAACTTCTTTACTATTTCCCCTCCTTACTCTTTTCTCCTCCCCTATCTCCCTCTTTCTTTTCTATTTATTTTTAGAGCTAGAGACTCGCTATATTGCCCAGGCTAGACTCAAATCCTAGGCTCAAGTGATCCTCTTGCCTCAGCTTCATAAGTAGCTGGGACTACAGCACTCAGCTCCCCTTTATTTTCTGTGTTACATCTGGCTCCACTAGTGTTGAAGTGAGAGAGATCAAGGAGAAATACGGGGCAGGAAAAGATCCTGTGTCTGTTATAGTTTTAATCAGGTGTTGGAGCTCTCCAGATGTAGCCAAAGGCTAACTCTTTTCCATGGGGCCCATTTGTGGATTTTTCAGTTCTTCCCATTTCTGGTTATTATTTGGAATCAGAATACCAATAATTAAAAAGAAATAGCATTTCAAGCAAGGGAATATCTGTTCTGGTTTGGAAAAAAATCTATTTCACACACATTTTCGGTTTTAGAAAGAATATTTTTGTTTAGAAGGAATATTTAAAAGTTTATATTTAGAATGCTGTCAAAAGTTCCAAATTATTTGTTAAATATTTAGATGATTTTATAGAAAAGGAGCATTTCAAATAAAACTCAAGCATAAAATAAAGAATACCAATTAGTCAATAATACCAATTAAAGCATTAAAAAAAGAATACCAGTTAAGCAACCAACTCGCCTGTTGGGCTGTAAACTGCCCATGCCCATTTCTGCCTATATTTTTTGCTCACATCATTCACTGGCTGAAATGCCTTCCCCTTCCTCTAGCCAAATCCTGCTTTTCCTTCGAGTCCCAAGTAGCACCTCTTCATGAAAGCCTCCCATAACTACCCCAACTCACTTCTCTTTTTCCTCTCACATTTAGCTATTGACTCCTGCCTCACGAAGGCTGGTGCTGTCTCTACAGTGAATATTGTGCACCTCAGGGTAGAATGGAGAGCGCAAGGCTTCAAATCAGGCAGTCCAGGTTCAGACCCCAATTCCAGTGCTAAAGAGCTGCGTGACTTTAGGCCGATTGCGTGTGACTTCCCTGAGCCCCAGTCTCTTTGCCTGCAAAATGAGAAAACTGATAACAATGTCATCAGTTGTTCTGAGGATTCTGAGAGGAATTAGTAGGAGAGGGAACTGAGAAGCTGCAGGCATCTACAAAGCTATTCAACTGGCATTTAGGAAGATGTTGCCCGTCAGAGTCAGACCTTCTCAGCATCTTCCGGCTGGGCCCAAACTTCCCAAGACCATTTGGACAAGGTAATCTCTATCCCACCCTGGCCTCCTCCCGGAGGAGGAGAAGAATCATGCTGTTACAGAAAAACTGACGATTTGGGCAAGAGAGCTAATGGTTATGTTCTGCATCGGGTCAGAGATGGGCTGGGAAAACCACTCCAAAGCCAAGATAAGCAGTGTCCTGGAAAAAGAAGGCTGCATGGAGCCCAGAGTGGCCTGGATCCTGCCTCATTTCCTGGACCAGCTCCTTAGGTGGTTACTGGATGGCCAATAAAGCAGAGCTTATTAAAGTCAACGAACTCAGGCTTCATCGCTGCCCTGGTATCCAAGCACCAGTCTGCCTGGGATTTCATTTGCCTGATGGACAAAGGAGAGGATGTTCCAATACATATCCTGAGTGGTGGGAGTGGGGAGAGAAGGGGAAGAATGCTCTCTAGAGATTTCTCTTTGTCCTCTGAGGTAAATAGAGGTCATGTCTTCCCTAACCACACTCAGTGATCTGAATCTCTTGGACTGTGGATTTTTCCTTTACCTGCTGTGAAGTCTTGAAAAGTATGAATTAGCTAGATAATGATCCTCTAAAGATGTACAAGAGTTAAAGATGTGTTTAAGTTCTTCAAGCAATCCAATATGACTACAGGTTTCCAAAAATTTGAAGGAAACTGAAAGTCACAGTTCCCAAACCAGATATTTTCCGGTGTCCAGATGTTCAGTGGCATGCAAACCAAATGTCTGGATTATGAGCTCGTTTTTTCATTTCTTTTTTTTTTTTCCAGCTTACATGCAGATGTTGGGTCCAACTGGTCAGAGGACTGGGGAAGAGATAGAAATAAAATCTAGGGTGTTCATCTAGAGTCTCCTGCTTCTCTAATCCTGCTCCCTCTTCACGCTGCTCCCCACATCCTCCCCAACTCAGCTTCATGCTACATCTTGGCAAATATAGCTCATATCCAGACACAGTGCTGCCCTTGACAGCTGGGTCCACAAAGGCAGGTCGGGTATATCTTTAAAGAAAAGTTATCTTAACCATTCAGAAGCCTTCCTTCCTCAGAGGAGAGCACCTCCCCAGCAGACCTCCGAGGAGAGCAAGGGCAGGACGGGAAGGATAGAAGGAAGTTTCAAGACTGCAGGAAACAAGAGCTTGGAGGTCAAGGGAGAGATCAGAGAAAACATGAATCTGATCAGCATCCTCGTGGTCTAGAGTGGAGACGATCTGCAGAGTCAGCCTCAGTAAGGACACAGGTAGTCAGAGAAGAACCAAAGCCTCTAAAGATGAAGCTGAGAAGTATATGGTCGTAGAAGACTAGTGTCTGTTATTCCTAAAAGCTCAAGGAGGTATAAACCACTTAAGATTTAAATGGAGGAACACACGATCTTACCTGCTTTCAAAGGATTTTGGGGTCCCCATTCTCCCATTAGCAGTCAGGCAACTCTCTCTGTCGTCTCCAAAGGGAGGAGTGGAAAGGCTTCAAAAGCCCTAGGAAATAAATGTCCCCTTCACCCAAAATCCAGTGTGTAGCCTGAGGATAGGACTTTCACTGAGAGAAATATGTAGAAGGGGATAGAAGCCGGGCACCCAGGTGGTGGGTGACAGAAGAGAACTTCCTAGCTGGTTTTAGTTAGGGAGGGCATCCTGGGCAAAAGTCAGAATGCAACTTTTCTTTTTTTTTTAACTCCTTTTAACAAGATGCTGTTGAATTCCTCTTTTGCAGATGTTCTGCCAATTGAATGGAAACTGTCCATAGTGGGGAGCAGAGAGCCTCATCCTGTCTGAACTGGACATCCATCCTTAAGGCCAGAGTTCTCCCACCACCAACTTTAACTCCTGCCCTAGCCCTCTCTCTTCCTTTTCAAAACCCTCTCCACCCAGGAAGGGAGATTCTGGAGCCAAGACTGTACCAGCCACACCTCCCCAGAGTTGTTAAGCAAGGAACCCGAAGCCAGGGGTGGTCCTCTGGCAATCACCCCCATTACCAATAGCAGGACAGATGTGTTTCTGATGGACTACACTATCCCCGGAGGTCACACGATTCAGGCTGCCAAAGGTACCTGCCCTTGGGAAATCAACTCCTGAAGGTAAATTGGGATTGGGTCCTGAGAAGATCCATGGAAGCCCGGAGGACCCTGCCTCTCTCTGTTGCTTCATGCTGTAGAGGCGGTACTGGGGAGGGCTGCCCACATCCGGTGGGGCAGCTGGGACCATACGTTTGATGACACTCTGCTCCCTCAATGTGGAGCCTCATCCTCATCTCACAGTCCAGCAGGCCTCTGGCGGGATGGGCTTCTCTCACCCAGTGTGTGAGTTTTTTTGGAAGTGGCCTGATTTTGGAGTTTCCCTCCAAGCCTTTCCCAGGCACATGCTTTCTCTCCCATTCTCTCTTCTTTTATCAATCTTCTTAAGTCTGATTTTCTCCTTTTTCCCTCTGTTGTCTCCATCTTTTTTCCAGTCTCTCACTTCTCTTTCTTTCTCCTCATATTTCACTCTGTTCTCTCACCCCTCCCTTTCCCTTCTGTTTCTCTCCCTCCCTCTCTTCCCACCCCCTGCCTGGCCTTCAATATATCAAGCAAAGTTTTATCACCTTATGCAGGGGCAGCCCTGCCACTGCCATAGAGTTGATAGGCTAATGACATTTTGTGGATATTGCTATGTCACAAGTGCAGGGACAGCATCAAAAACAGCCCTGATGTCTAAACCACTTCAGCTATCTTTTTTATTTTTTAAATAAATATGTTCACATGATTTTAAGAAACTATAAAAATGTATAAAGTAAAAAAATCTTTCTCTCACACTGTCTCCACCTCTCCTGGTCTCTCCATTGTGCTTTGAAAGGGGAAACCATTGTGATTAGTTTATTCTATGTCCTTCCAGAGTGTCTTTATGCAAATGAAAATTATTGTGATAATATATTCCTATTTTTCCCCTTACTACACAAAAGGTAGACTACCATAATTCCATTCTGCACTTTCTTTTATCACTTGATAATAAAAACATGATTTTATTAACGGGTGTTTATGGAGTGATTACCATGTGCTATGTGCCTGCTGGGCACTGTGGAACATACACGGGTAAACAAGACACAATCACTATCCCCATATTCAAGGATCTGAAGACAGTCTGGTGACAAATGACCAACAGGCTCATCCACATTCAGCCATGCTATAGAGGGCTGAATATTTTTAAATAAGTAAAGTCAGCCAGGCATGGTGGCTCATCCCTGTAATCCCAGCACATTGGGAGGCCAAGGCAGGAGGATCGCTTGTGTCCAGCAGTTCAAGAACAGCCTGGGCAACATAGTGAGACCCTGTCTGCACAAAAAATAAAAAATTAGCTGGGCATGGTGTGGTGGTGTGTGCCTGTAGTTTCAGCTACACAGGAGGCTGAGGTAGGAGGTTTGCTTGAGCCCAGGATGTTGAGGCTGCAGTGAGTCATGGTTTGTGCCACTGCATTCCAGCCTGGGGTGACAGAGCGAGACCCTGTCTCAAAAAACTAATAAATAAAATAAGTAAAATCAAGGAACAATGAGAGCACAGAAGAGGAAGGAGATTAAATCCAACCTTGAGGACTCATGATGGGGATGGTGTCTGAGCTGAACTTCGCAGAATGGATGGGATTCTGCACACACAGAGCTGGGGAAGTGGAGGGTTTCATGTGGTCAGAGACAAGGTGAGAAAGTTCTGGCACATGGCATATACAAGGAAGTGAAAGGCAGAAGCCCAGGGGGTTGGAGGAGGATACAGCTGGAGGGGTAGTGTGTGCAGTGGGAAACAGAGAACCAGGGTCATCCACCTGGATTTAAGTCCTGGGTCTAATCCTACTAGCTAGTCAGTTCTTCATCTGTGGAATGGGATAAAAATTATCTCCTGCATTATTAGAGGATTAAATGAGGCAACATCATGAAGACCTCACAATGAAGGACTGCACAGTGTGAGGTATTAAGCCTGAAAAGACAGATAGGAATTTGATCTTATATGGCCCTGGGGGCCATGAATCAGAGCTCAGGCCTTATACTGAAGGTTTTGGAGAAGGGAACAGTGAAGTGTTTGGGATAAAGAAATGACATATAGGACCAAGGAGAGAAGGTGCGGGTGGTAGGACAGGCATTTCATGAAATGCTATAAATCTTATCTCTTGGTTACCAATGAAAGACAACTACACATCAGATAAACTTTTACTTTATTATAAAAATGATTGATAGTTTCACTTAGGGATGCAATTTCAGTGCGTAGTAACTCTGTAACTGTATGGTGGCATCCTTGGAATATATGATTTATTCACTCTTCATTTATTTATTCATTCAACCAACATTTGTCCAGCACCTACGAACAGTTTGGCACTTGTGCCATACCTTCTATCCTGAAGTCAGTTTACCAGACAACATACCACGAAGGCTGACTAAAGAGGGTCTGCTGAGTTTCATAACTCTCAATCGTACCCCAGTGCCTCTTTGGAACATCATGGCAGAGAAAGCAAGATCACATATTCCTCTGACTTCTAGCTCCCTGCGTTTAGAAGAAGTCAACCACGGCAGGGCTGAGGACAACAGAAGAGTCAGGTCCAGAGGATAAAGTCATTGATGTCAACAGTGTGGATCAAGACTGGCCAAGACTGGGTGCAATAGTACACACCTGTAGTTCCAACTACTCAAGAGGCTGAGGCAGGAGGATTGCTTGAGTGCTGGAGTTCAAGTCTAGCCTGGGCAACATAGTGAGACCCCCATCGAAAGAGAGAAAGAAAGGAAGAAAGAGAGAGGAGAGGGGAAGGGAGGGGAGGGGAGGGGAGAGGAGGGAAGAGAGGAGAAGAGAAGAGAAGAGAAGAGAAGAGAAGAGAAGAGAAGAGAAAAGAGAAGAGAAGAGAAGAGAAGAGAAAAAAGATTAGCCAAACCAAGAGAAGTCCAGGGCAGAACATTTTATTTCAGGTAACTGGGAATTGATGATGTATCATTACTAGGCTCTGTTCTCCCATTGGGGATTCAAGCCAAGTAGAGGAAATGCTTCATTCCCACTTGCCTTTCTGACCAGATTCTCCTGCAGTGATGCAGTTTTCTGCTTTTAGGGAGCTGAGGATATAGATTGAGGTATGGTAGAAACTACAGAGTAAGCCTTATCTGGCTCATTTTTTTAATTATTGAGACGGAGTTTCACTCTGGCTCATTTTTTTTATTATTGCCTAGGCTGGAGTGCAATGGCGCAGTCTCACTCACTGAAACCTCTGCCTCCCGGGTTCAAGCAATTCTTCTGCCTCAGTCTCCTAAGTAGCTGGAATTACAGGCATGCACCACCACCTCTGGCTAATTTTGTATTTTTAGTAGAGACGAGGTTTCTCCTTGTTGGTCAGGCTGGTCTTGAACTCCTGACCTCAAGTGGTCCGCCCACCTTGGCCTCCTAAAGTGCTGGGATTACAGGCGTGAGCCACCGCGCCTAGCCCATCTGCCTCTTTAATGAGCTGAGGTGGCAGAGATGGCACCCTCAGCCCAGCCACTGGAAAAACCGTTGCCAAGTTGGAGGAAGACCCCTCAGCCCAGAGTCACACTTATACCTAACAGCTGTGCCAAATATGATTCTGGGCCATGGAAACATTCAGAGTAAAAATAGTATATGGGGCATATTGAGATGCTTCCAAGGAAACCTTCTGGGGGACAAATAAAATGTTTTTATTGAGAAAGGGCTTGCATCTATCATCTAAATCATCTCTAAAATGAAACAACAGTCTCCGGTTACTCACACCTGGGTTGAAGGAGCCGCTCCTCTGGGGAATCCCTTGTGGCTTTACACATGAATGGGGAATGCTTTGTTTTTGAGCCATGGCTTACCGTTCAGAGAAAGGGCATTAGGAAGGGAGACAGTTGATTCTTAGGTCCAAAGCCCAGAAAGTAGTTCCGCCTCTAAGGCCGAGTGAGCCCCACCTTTGGCCAAGCTGGGAATGAAGCAACACTGGTTTTATTTTTTTGTTTTTATTTTTACCTTTGTTTTTTTTTTTTGAAACAGCATCTCACTTTGTCACCCAGACTGGAGTGCAGTGGTGCAATTTAGGCTCACTGCAACCTCTGCCTCCCAGGTTCAAGTGATTCTCCTGCCTCAGCCTCCTGAGTAACTGGGATTACAGGTGTGTGCCACCAAGCCTAGCTAATTTTTGTATTTTCAATACAGACAGGGTTCCACCATGTTGGCCACACTGATGGCCAACTCCTGACCTCAAATGATCCACCCGCCTCTGCCTCCCGTTGGGATTACAGGCATGAGCCATTGTGCCCAGCCCAATGCTGGTTTTGTCACCTGTACACATACTCCACAAGGGCCCCTGACAACCAGGTTTTCAGCTCTCCCAAGCCTCAGACCACGTGGCACCAAACATCTAGATGAAAAATTCAATTAGACACACAGGCACTAGTTTTCTACATGTTACTGAGGTATTAAAACAACTGGAAATTTAGATGAGTTTGTGTTGCTTATCTAAATATTTTATAAAGGGGAGAAGAGGCAGAAGAAAATAATCAGGTAGACTGCCAGGGTAAGGAGGGACAAGAAGAGGGACACAGCATGTGCTCCCCAAATTCCCAGAGGGACAAAACTTTTTAGGGCAGTTTTATTTAACTGCTATAAATTGTCAAAGAACATTAAATCATCCACATTCATTGTGAAACATCTGACATTCCATGGCAACCATGTCAAATGCATGCAGATCATTAAGATAGAAACCAAAACTCATAAAATCATAGATATTTTGCTCTGATGCAGCTGTAAATTATCCTTCAACTTCACCCCTTAGGGGGATCTCTGCCATTGTCATGTCTAAGTAACCAGTTTCCTCAATTCCCATGCTTCCATGCCAAGCATTTTCAATGGGATGTCTACCAACGTGTTAAAAATGCACTTTGTTCAATTGTGTGGCCAATTATTGACCTGGCCATTCATATCATTTGCTTAGATTTCCCTTTTACTGTGCCTAAGCACACCCAGGCCTGTGTGACACGGAAAGTTCACTAACAGTTTGAATAATTCAGCCAGGAAGGTTCCCTGGAAGACCACACTGGTAGAGAAGCTCTATGGAGGCAGAAAAGCTGGCTCAATCCTGGTAGAGCTCCAGGAACAGTCTCCCCCACGATTCCTCTCCCTCCCATCCAAATTTCTCAGAGCTGCTCTCAAAGCTGCACAGAAAAGATTTGGAGACAAAAGCCAATGAGGGGGCCAGGTGCAGTGGCTCATGCCTGTAATCCTAGCACTTTAGAAGGCTGAGGCTGGTGGATCACTTGAACCCAGGAGTTCAAGACCAGCCTGGGCAACATAGGGAAACCCTACAAAAAATACAAAAAATTAGCTAAGCGTGGTGGTATGCTCCTGTAGTCCCAGCTACTCCAAAGGGGGAGGGGGAGGATCGCTTGAGACTGGGAGTTCAAGGTTGCTGTTGAGTGATGATTGTGCCACTGTATGCCAGCCAGGGCGACTGAGCAATATCCCATCTCAAATAAAATAAAATTAAATTAAAATTAAAGCCTGCCAGGCGCAGCGGCTCACACCCATAATCCTAGCACTTCAGGAGGCCAACACGGGTGGATCACCTGAGGTCAGGAGTTCGAGACCAGCCTGGCCAACGTGGTGAAACCCTGTCTCTACTAAAAATACAAAAGTTAGCCAAGTGTGGTGGTGGGCATCTGTAATCCCAGCTACTCAGGAGGCTGAGGCAGGAGAATCGCTTGAACCCCGGAGGCAGAGGTTGTGGTGAGCTGAGATCATGCCACTTCACTCATGCAAGACTCTGTCTCAAAAACAAACAAACAAAAAAAAAAAAACAGCAACAACAAAACAAAACAAAACAAAAAAGCACCAATGAGGGGAGGCTCCTCTCACCTGCAATAACAAGAAGGAACTGCCTCCAAAATACCCATTTACCCTTTCTGTAAAATGGACATTCTTTCCCTCTCCCTGTACCTCACCATACATGAGATAAAAGATGTGAAGTACACAGGTACTTAGAAAATGAAAAAGTATCATACCTATATAAGAGG